AGAGCGATGGCCTCCAACCTAAGAGCGATGGCCTCCAACCTAAGAGCGATGGACTCCAACCTAAGAGCGATGGCCTCCAACCTAAGAGCAATGGACTCCAACCTAAGAGCGATGGCCTCTATAGAGACTTTGAAAATACACACCTAGTTGACTTTTTGTATACTCGTCCCATCTAATCACTAGTCAAGACAATCACCGCTGAGAGTTAGCCAACAATCGGCTCATTGATGTAAACGCAACTTAGGCCGGGAGTACCAAGCTTCTGGCCTTCGTCAGTGTCACTCTGCTTGTTCTCGCTATTCCTCTTTTTTTTCTTCCTCATCCACAGTCCGTCAGAGTGCTTCAAAGCCGGTTTGAAAGGACAAAAATCAATCCAAAGCTCCACTACACCTATTCTTGAATCCTCCCACCAGCTTCTTTGAAGCAAGCGGGAGGAGGCAAAACAGGCTGACTAGCATGGCGGAACGAGGGGACATATTTTATATTCTTGTGATTGCCCAACCCCAGAAAACATCAGAAAACTGCTTAGGGTGCCACTGCTCATCCTACCCACTGCACCCGAGCTTTGGAGCTCAAATGTAAGACACGCACTTCCAGAAACTGCTTCCAGGCCACTTCTTTTTTGCTTTGCGCTGCTTGCTTGAAACCTCCACTGCTTGTGCTGGCTCGGGCTTTACAGCGCTGTTGTCACAGGCATAACCACCAGCATCGTCACAGTTCTCATCAGTGTCCGAGCCAATCAATGCAGCAAATCCACATGCCTTAATGAGATACTACACAAGTTCCAGCAAAATCGCAAACTCACCATTCCACCACTACCACGATTGCATGCATTTAAAGAGACATGGAGACAACCTCAGCTGAGAATCCTTCGTCGATTCTTTGGGCTCTTCTGAACTGGCTTCGTTATCGTCTGTCTGCTCTAGCGCTTGGAGTTTGCCGGATTGTTTTGTCGACATAGCTGCAGGGATGCTCAACACGCATCAACCACTTGGCACAAAGGGTTCCGCAATCACTTTTGCATTTCTATTACTTCTCTTTCTGCTTTGCCAACATGTACCTCCATAGAGAGTGCATGTGGACAGTGTATCCCCATGATGTGTGTTATGATGTGTGTTTCAAGTACAGACTCTACAACTCCACAGTCGGCTCTCGTTTCGTTCTAAGGGTTCTAACGTTTGGAAGGCCAGTCTTTTGTGCATTCATGTCAATCCTCTGCCACGCTCTGCTGTAGGATTTGAGCCAGAAACTGGCGATGATTAGCAAGCAGGACGATTAGGAAGCTTCTGCAGCTATGCAGAAACAGCTCAAATAGTCCTCGGCCTCCGCCAAATCAACAGCATCCTCCTCGGGGCACACTGCTAAAAAAAGGAATACAGTGACAACAAACATGATATCTATTCAAGCCTTTACGACTGTACAACCGCCGCTTCAAGGAACTTGGACTTCTCTTTGACAATGTCCAGTAGCTCCTCTTCATTCTCTTCATTATCTTCATTCTTCACCTCCTCATCCTCCTCATCCTGCATTGGCTGAAGCCAACATGTTTATTTGTCTGTTCACAGGGCGCGCACCTCCAGTGGCAAGGCGACGTCTGCATCTGTGTTGATCCTGGGAGCAAGTCACGCACATCAAACATCGGCTTTCAAGTCTTTCTAAGACTTTGACCGAGGCGGCGGTGCCTCGAAACGAAGCATAGTGACCATCATTTGACCATGCCACCAATGTGCGACCCTTTTGTCACCGACCCTTTTGTCAATGTAGAGGGTCAAGTTTCCCTAAAAATCTAGGAACTAAATCATTTAGTGTGAGCGCTTCTTTAAGGAAGCTCCCCCACCCTCAGGAGGAGGGAGCTTCTTGAAGAAGCGTGAGCTATTCTGCGTCCAAAGTAGTAGCTTACTTGCAGGTACTAGCTACCTAACTACTACTAGCTACCTCTAGCTAACCTACCTCACCTCTAGCGGCCTACCCCCCAAAAAAACAAAAGAAATCGGCTAACAAATGATATCGCTAAGACATTGTCCTTCGTGCAATCGGATGGATATCGCCATCGCCTTTGGTGGATCGCCCAGGTGGGCCAGCAATTCCCGATCGATGGCCCGCAATCGCATGGCCTAGGCTTTTCACTGAGGCTAAAGCCTTCTTTTGCTTCCACCTAGCTTCACTCCACTAAACAAACATGCCAAGTGCCTCCTAAAGTTTGCGTGCTACTGAAAATTACAGTACTACAAGTAACTCTGCATCATCTTGAATCATCTTTAGCTTTTGGCCTCCAGTGGCGCCAGCAGCTCAGCGCTCTGCAGATGGAAGTTGCTGAGAAATCTGAATTCAAGTGCAGTATATCATGTATATCAATTAGTCGCTCTCATATTCAGTTACTAGCAGCTTGCCAGGTTCGAGTGTCTAACTACTCAGGGTTTAAAGCTCGTGAAGGATGAATCAAGAGGTGGGGCTTTCCAGAAGCGAAAACTTGACCCATGACCCATGCCTTCCGATGTTTTTAGACACCATTATATAATATATCAAGTCTTTTCGCATCTGCACACAGGACTGGCCGTCGCTGCCTTGTCAACGAGGCGTTCCAACAAAAGATGGTCTGCGGTTTTCACAGTAGCCTCACAAGATTGTTCACATTGCAAGGGCACCACCACAACAACCCAGAGAACCGCCTGCTTCAAGAGATTCTTCTCCAACCTGGCATGCCAAAGGTTCCAAGTCACTTGTCGTGGGGTGATACTTGATCCATAGACCCATCTTGTTTGTATTCATGACTCATGAATTGACCCAATGGACAAGCACTGAGAATTGTGGAGGCTGCAACATGCCCGTCAGTACGCCACTAGATCATCATTCCGCTTTCGAAGTTGCCACATCTGCAGGAGTTTGCAAATCGCAGTAGAAGCAGCGGAAGTAGTGGTGTGCTTCAGCATGTCTATCTGAAGCGCCAAAAGGCAGCTCTGATGCTGCTAAGATAGGCACTGACACTGCCAACGGCCGTGCAGGAGCTGAATTGGTGTTGCCCAGAATCTCCAAGACAGTCTGCAAACAAACCCAAAGATTGCATGAGCGACGGATTGTTCAAAAGCGAAGGTCAATGAGGTGTTCTTGTAATTTTGCCAGCCTCAGTAAGAAGTTCAATGAGATTCTCACCTCCATCAGCCTCAACACAGGGCATGGTCTCAAGCACTCCTCGAACTGAGCTTGGGCCTGAAGAACCTTTCGAAAGTCGAGCAAGTTCTTGACCTCCCGTTTCCTTGGATCAGTCATCAGAGATGATCACAGCAAATGTACTCTTCACCCCAAGCTGGAAAGCTGGGATCGAGCGGCTTGAGCTCCTTCATGCATGCAGCTGTGGCTTCCTGCTGAAACAACAGCCAACAAGCACGGACGGACACTGGAATATCACCACACACCTCAAGTCGTGAGCCAGGGATTGACATGACCTCCAAAACAGAGCTTGAGCAAAATGAAGTGTTTCAGCTCGCGGGTTCCCAGGCACATCTATCTATATTCTTGTTTCTAATAGCTTCTTGTTACTACTAGTAAGGCACTTGTTACTAGTAGCGATGCACTTGTTTCTAATAGCTTCTTGTTTCTATTATTATATATGTATATATGCACATACCATTACATGCCATACTTTTTCCTTCAGCCTTTCTTGTCACTTTTCCTCTTGAAGGTGTCCCTTTGTCGGGCTTATTTTCTCCACCGGTCTACTCCCAGGGCCTCCCTCGCGTTGAGGAGCTCTCTGTAAATAAAAGAGCTTGGACCCTGCAGTGCAAGTGGTGAATCTACACGTTGTCTATATGGCTATATATATATATGTGTGCGTACACACATATCGATGATATACAGCTATGCGCGGCACGAAGGCCTTATTTCCTTGTTCATTCCTACACAACTTTCTTGCAGCATACTCCACTTTCGCTGCCTGCCTTCCTCAAAAAGCCCGGCAGCTGAGTCAAATGAACTTCAACTGCCTTGCGAAACGGAGCACGTGCTCGGGTGCAACACAAGATTCCGCTAGCAGGATAAAACAAGGGTAGCTGCAGTAGTTCTGCCCAACTCAGGGCTCCATGCCAGCTCACGCTCAGCTGGCGGCAGCCCCTGCCATGTTTTCAGGGCCACTGTTTTTGTGTCATGTCAGTCATCAGTCAATTCGTCATGTTCTCGTGTGTTGACATCTTTTGAGAACCAGTCCATCGTCTGCTTTCTTGACAGTAATCTGGTTCGCATTGAATGAGAAAAATGCGGAAATACCCGAACCTAGAAAGGCTGCTGACCAGCAAACACAGAAGGCACCTCATGGCCACCCATGCGAACACACCGTGATGCGCGCTGCACCAATTCGGAGTGCCTGCCAGTGCAAACACCGAAGGCGGATGCAAAAAGGCTAAAAAGATAAAAACTTCTTTCAATCTGCCTCACAGGAACTTCCACAAGGTGAAGGCGCCGCACGTGCTTGAACTGGATTCCTTCTCCAGCCTGGAACAGAAAACCGTAAGAGAAGATAACAAGCAAATGGGTCAAGAAAGCATGGTCTTGGCTTTGTCAGGCATGTTAAAAATGGCCATGGCGTTGAGCAAGGCACATCCTGCACATCGCCTGAGAGGTCTCGGCTAGCATGACACGAAATCGCTCGCCACGAAGATTTCTTCTGGCATCATTGAAGTCACCTCAGTGGCGATACTGCAAAACACACTCCTTGGTTTTTCTGGCATTTGACTCCGTCCTTGGGCTAAACATGAGCTAAACATCCTTAGGATAAAGTATTGTTGAGGCCATCACTCAGTTCCTTGAGTGTTGCCACTTTGAAGCCACGCTTCTTCCCAGTCTTCTGTAGTATCTGTGCAGTGTCAAGATCCGGTGCTAAACCAGGTTCTCACTTTGCTTGCATTTAAAGTATTGATTTCAAGGCCCCGCCTCCAGCAATGCCTTGTAGCCAGTTTGGCGAGATAGCATGACCACTGCCTGAGGCCACTAGCTACAGAGACAACATCGAAGATCCTTGAACTTGCAGCAAACAAACCCCGAGTAAATGGACGGTTGGAATCAGTTATGAGATGCTTGCAATTAAGTGCTGTGCCTTCTCCTTATTCTTGGCTATTGCTTTTGCCACACCGTAAAACTTTGGAGCATAATCCTCAGCACCAAGCTAGGTCTGAACGACGTCCAAATGTGCAATCGGTATCTGCACACAACTACCGATTACCCCAGCAATGCCATAGCATTCTGTTTTTGTAGTCCTTGGCATTCTCCAACAGTGCTGTTCGCTTTGCGCCCGAGTAAGAGCCTGAAGAGTGCAGTGAAGAATTGCCCAATACGATCTGTAGCAGCGCGAGCGTCGCACCGTAAAACACGTGAAGATTGCAGTAGTTGGAAAGTCTAGCCAAGCGCGTCTCCTTGGAAGTGCATGTGATTACCAATAAATGCTACTAGGTTGGAGACCATCGCTATTAGGTTCCTTAAAGTCTTTTCTCTATATTCTTTTCTATATCCACTCGAGTTGTCAACTCCTCTGGGAGGCGCATCAAGCGCGGAGTGACCATGAACCTGAGAGCGTCTCCGCCAAGGTTCAACATATTACGCAAAAGGCAAAAGCTGAGGCGTGAACTCAACCTCTTTCATCAAATAGCGCTTCAGGGCCTTCAGGCAATGAAGGCTTTTTTGCCAAAAGCCTCCCGAACTGTTCAGATCCTTCCATGCCGCAGCACCCAGCCTCCCCATGCAAAGAGTGCATCTTGACCAGCTCCTGAGGAGATTGAAGCAGGGTGCTGCAGGGTACAACATGTCATGAAACATCCATCTCCAGCCCGTCCGGCAAAGTCGAGTCATGAAGAACACCATCTGGAATTCCAGGCACTGGTGCCTGAACACTCTGTCAGCAAGAGTGTTTTTGCAGAGCAGCATTCAACGAGCCTCTCGGGGGAAGTCTGCGCTTGCTCGTGCATGGAAGCATGAGAGAAAGCCCTCAGAGGAAATGTGCAAAAAGTTCAAACCTTCAATGCCCTCAATGGAACCTTCATTTACTTTTTGTCATCCGCTTTGAATATTGCAGTGCATGCAAAGAACACCTCTGACACTGTGGCTTCGAGTTTGTTTAGGCACGCTATACTGAGCATAATAAGCAGGTCTCAATGAGTTTGGACACCGTTCTTTCTAGCACGCTGAAAATATAATGCAATTGTAGGTGAAAGGGGAAAGCAATAAGCAACAGAAGGTAAGGTAACGGTCCCAACAGCGACGCGGGGGAATTTGAGCACCCAAAAACATAGATAGTAGCTTCTTGTTCCTAGTAGTAAGGCCAGGAGCTACTAGTAGCGTCCTTGCTCCTAGTAGCGATGCCAGGAGCCCCTAGTAGCGTCCTTGCTCCTAGTTGCCTCGCCATGGGACCGGTACCTTGTCAACACAATCCGAAACGTTGGCTTTGGCACTGCAATTGTCACTGAGTATTGAGTGTTTAATTTCCAATAATATATATATATATAACCCAAAAAACTGTCAGAATCCGAACATGTGAAAACTTCGCAGATACAAAGATCCTCCACAACATGAAGAAAGGAAGTCTGAACACTCTCCATTTGCCACAGTTCACTCAGTATGTTTGTGATTTTGTCTGACTTGGCACAAACACACTTTCAACCCGCTGCATGGCTGCAAGTGCCAAGAGTGAACCTCCACACTTTCAACGTCCTGTGTCTGCGTTTCAAAACAAAACCGTTTCCACATTTTTTGAAGAGCCGGAATACTTGCCCCTCAATTGGATTTAACTTGTATGTTGAAGATCATCCAACGCATGTGTGCATTTTTCTTCATCTTAGATGCACTTCTAATCCAACATCATTAGCTACCCACCCAACCCACCCAGCACCCCGAAACCCTCACCCAACCCCCACATCTTCCAACGCATGTGTGCATGTGGCTGGATCTTAGATGCACTTCCATTCGAACGTCGTTAGCCTCCCATGAACGGAGAATTTAGGCTCTTAAACTCAGTGACGTAGGGTCACAGTCCCAAAGGTTGTAGTTGAAGCTTAGGCACACTTTTAGCTCAATCAAGCGTGAGCTCTGGTAGTGAAATGAACACAAAAGTAAACCACAAACGGCTGCAGTGAAGCATACATCTATACAAGCTGTGTCATGTACATGTAACTGGTGCTACATCTGATCACGCCTCCCGAGTTTAACATCTCCCAGAAGTTAAGCGAGTCAGGATTAGCACTTCGGTGAATTAGCTCGTAGCCCTTCAGTACATCTTGGTCTTGAAGAAGTACCTACTCTAGCTCAAGCCGTTCAAGCTTTCAAAGTCAGTTCATGCTCACCTTCCAGGTAGTGGAAGTTCATGCCTTTCATGGCTGTAGTCATTTTCTCTTCGGTGACAGCTTTCGTTAGCACGTCGGCCAACATTCGGTCGGTGCCTTCCTTCTTGAGACGAAACTCTTTCTTTGCTGTGCGCTCTTGTACCCAGTGGTACTGAGTGTCAACATGTTTAGCTCGTCCCAGACCTCGACGGTTTCCCATGGCGATGCCAGCGGAAGCGTCCGTTGTCACCTCTTTGCTGGGAAACAATCCCCAGTCTCTTGCTGTTGATGCGATTCCAAGCATTTGACATGCTCCTGAAACAAGTCCGTAGTACTCGGATTCGCCACTGCTCAGGGAGACAACTCCTTGGCCCTTGCTGTATGTAGTGAGACAGCATTTGTTGGCCATGAGCACGCCTCCTGACACACTCTTTCGTGTCCTTATGCAACCTGCATGGTCGGCGTCTGACCACATGTTGAAGGGGTTGCAGGTGCTTTGGTTTGGAAACAGCTGTGCAACTCTTGGTCGATACCTGACATATCGAGCCAATCGTTTCAGCATATTCCAGTGCCTCGATGTTGGATTCTGTAGACCTTGTGCCAACGAGCGCGTTGCAGTTTGCAGATCAGGTCGATCTTGTGCCAAATACGCGGCTCTCATAGCAATAGATCTATACATCGTTGCATCTTCGGCACTCAGCGGAACTTCTTCGTGTTGGAGTTCCTCTTGACTTGGCTTGGCCAAAGGTGTTTTGACCTTGCCTGGTTGACCAGTGCCTAACCACTTGATGATCAACTCTGCATGTCTTGGATCTGGTTCCCACCAAATGCCTTCATTTGACCAGGTGATGATGCGATTCAGCACTCTGATCTGTTGGCTTGCTTTTGGTGAACCTGGTGGACCGAGAATGCCTCGTTCCACAACTTGCCATTCTTTGGCTGCTGAAGTGTGAAACCATTTGATGTCATCAAAACTTCCAACGGTCGTGAAATCATCTCCATGCACTTCTGTTCGAAGCTCTCTGGATGCATGGTAATAAATGCATGGATTGGACTTGCCTTGAACAAATCCTAGCTTCTTCATAAACTCTGCAATGGTCAGCTCCCAATTCATGGGTGCGTCTCTGGTGCCGTAAAGGCTTCTGACCAATCTTCCTACCACATCTCCATCCTCGGTCTCTTGCCTTCTGATGGAATTTCAACATAGAGTTCTCTCGTTGCTTTGGAGTAGAAATGAGCTCTCTTCACGTCCAAAAATCCTAGGAAAGATTGCTTTGTTTTTCGCTTCTCGCCTTTCTCCAATGGAAGGCTGTCACTGACTGCGATGGTTAGCAGTAGCTTCAAAGCTGCAAGGCTCGGCATGGCTGCGAAAAAATCGTCAAAACCTGAGCCTCTTTTGATCTCTTGCGCTACCAATCGACTTCTGTAGAGAGGATTGATTTCATCTTGCTTGTTCACCTCTACCCATCGAGTTCCAATGATTTTGGTTCCTTTTGGAACTTTGCTTCTTGGGATCTTCTCCCAGACTCCCATTGATTCGACAATGTCGATTTCATCTTTCCTGGCTTTCTCTACCTTCTCAGGTAGAAGCTCTTTTCCACTGATGTCATCGTAGTACCACCAGTCTTTCGCCTCTTCTGCCATTTGTTCTGGCAGTGGAATCTTCTCTTCACACACTGGTTTCTCTGGGTCGATGCTAGATAGCACTCTCTCTCTGTCTTCTAGGATTAGGCTTTCTAGAGCCATCTCAATGCTCTGGATGTCTCTTGTTCTCTCGGCTTCATCTTCATGTTCGCCTTCTGCCTTTCTCTTCTTGTCTCTATCTACTCTGGCTTTTGCTGTGGGTGATCCTGTTGGTTCATGTTGCTCTTCGTGTTCTCTCTTTTCTCCATGTGGTTCAGGTTCGCGTGGTCTGCGAATACCTGATGCTGAAGCTGATGCGGTGCCTGGTGTTGGTGGTGCTGCTTCTGGTTCGTACCAAAGTTCTGTCACAATGTCCATCTTGTGTGGTAATGCTCCATTGAGTATCTCTGGTGGAAGGTCTGTTGTCATGACTCCACTCTCAATGATTGCATTGTTTGCGTGGTTTCTTGTGACTCGGTGCCAGACGGTAGACCAATCAGGTCCTCCTGGCATTGTGGTTTGAAAACAATAAGCTTCGACGTCAAGTCGTGCGAACACCCGACATGAATCGGGGACTCCCGATGGTCTTTTGCTTTCATATCCATGAAGGATTTGAGGTCTCTTACCACTGACTGGTTGTGGCATGCCAGTGATTGCCTCTCCAACTCGGCTTTCATGTCTTGCTACTCTTGGGTTCTCTTCTTCTTCTCCTCTGATGCTCTCTTCAAGTCTGTCTCGACACCTGTTGGTGTGATGGATGCCTGTAGATCTTTTGCCAATCTGTGTGGCATCACAGGCTGGGCAACCTGCAGTGTACCCAAACTTTTCCAGGTCTTTCTTGGTAATGTAAAGTCTTCTCAGCTTTCTTTTCTTGTCATCTATTGCCGGTGGTTGAACTAAAGCTTCACCACTTGGGCTGGCAATGATTGGTTCCCTTGGGGCTGCAATCGCTGGTTCTTCGCGAATTGCTTGAGGATCCCAGGGAATCCCAGTGATCGATTTCAGCAACTCTGAGTCATATCGATCTTCTTTTGGCTTTCTTCTAATGGACTGCACTGGAAAAACGCCTGTGGAATTTCCAACTATCTTCTCTGTGGTGGTGTCTTTCACTCCTAGAAAAATTCCCTTGGTCCATTGGGCCTCGAACTTGTGACCTCTCTTGAGGTATTCGATGGCCTCACCAAAAGGTGGAATTGCTACTTTCCATTCACGTCCACGAAGTCGTGGATACGGGGTCTTTCCGTCTTGAAGTTCGGTAGACCGGAAAAACAGATTGTAGACTGTGGATGCGTGTTCAACTAACCAAGTCAAAACAGGTGAATCGTCAGGAAGTTTCTCACCATAGTTCGACTCGATCGCGGCTCGAAGAGTCCTGGCTTGTCCTTCCAAGGTTTGAACTGCTCGCTCAATCTCTCCCTTGGATTCTTTGACTCCTTTCGGGCTCTTCTCGATGATCAGGGTTCCTTCAAACCCATTCTTTACTGCCTCAGCAACGGAGGTGAGGGCAGGTTCAGGATCATGTCGAATGATCAGTTTGGAGTATCCTAGTTTCTTGATGTCGTTCAGAAGTACTTTGGATCCATATGGACCTTTTGTCACACCTTTGTAGGGCAACACATGAGCAAAAAGATGCTTCGTCCATCGATCTCTGACAACAAGAATTGGTGCATGAGTCTTCTCGTCCAAAACTACGTCATCAGTCCGCGAGTTCATGAAACAGTAGTCTACAGTTACTACTGGGGTTGTCTCATCGGTGTGGTCTATCTTCCTGTGGGGGTTTGCCTTAGCTTTTCCCCTTACACAGGCCTCACACCAAGACCTAAAAGGAAAGTGTGAAACAGTATGCTCCTCAAACTCTTTTCGCGTCGGGCGAATGGGAGCATTGATTTTGAGCTCAGGCGGAACTTCGTCGCCTGGCTCGGCCTCTTCGGCCTGTTCGTCCACTACCGGACTTACCCATTGCGGTGCCGGACGAAAGGGTGGAATGCAATCGGCACAGAACAGACGCCGTTGCTGAACGAGATCGGGATCTTAGTCCCGTCTCGGGAGATATGTCCACCAGATCCGTGCATCTGAATGGACCAGCCCTTGCTCATAAGGGCCCCCGCGGAGAGCAGCGGTTTTGCAACCGCCATCACCCGGAAACAGCAACGTCCCTCGAGGGAGTTCTGGCCGATGCCGATGGTCACCTTGGCATCGATCTTGCCAAGGTCCTTGACCACTTCGCCTGAGGCAGTCTTGTAGACTTTGCAGGTGCCTTCAGGCTGGATAGGCTTGTAGCCCAATGCGGTGGCCAGTTCAACAGGGATGCAGGAGGTCGCGGCTCCTGAATCCAAGGTCACCTGATGAGCCATTGGCGTCTCCATGGATGCCAGCTCCAAACTCCTGAGAGCCAATAGATCCTCCTCGCCCTCATCTGGCTCACTCGAAGGTGTGGGATATCGTTTTCCCTTTCCCTTCTTGGCCTCACGGGCAGCATCTTGAGTGGCCACGTTGACAGCTCGGGTCAACTGCACTTTCTTCTGCTTGCCCTTTCCTTGGCCTTTCTCGGAGGCAGCCGGAGCCGAAGCGGCTCGGCTTTTGCCCGGGGATCGAGACCGGGACTTCAGCCGAAGCGTCTGCCTTGGCGCTTCGCTGGACTCTTCTTGCTTGGGCCCTGGTCCACGGAATCGCTCCATATGCTCTTCAGTCGTGCTCTTGAACCAGGCCATGCGTTCCTCCTTGGTCTTGCCTTTCTTCTCAGGAGGTGGAGGTGTCTTGGCGATGCGCCTTTGCTTTGGCGTCTTTGGGCCAACCTCATCTTCCTCCTCCTGTTCTTCCATCATCTTCTGCATATGGGCTGTCATGTAGAAAGGACCTCCTTTCTTGACAGTCTCAAGCTTTGGATCTTCCATCTTCAAATGCTTTGCCACATCTTCGGACTTCAGATCCATGTCGGCATCTTTCACATGCTTTGGTGCATCTTTTGAAGTTGGGCTGCCTTGCTGTCCCTTGGCAGTCTTGATGCGCTTTCCCATCTCTTTCTGCTTAATCGTCCATTCCTTTGCCCACTGGTTGAGGACTTTTGGCGGGCAACAATTCAAGGCCATGTGATGGTTCCATAGACCGGTGTCATTGTCACACCTCAGGGTCTTGTTGCACGCACGGCAGACCATGTTCTTGCTGCCATCTCTGTTCTTGTGGGTGCATTTGGCTACCCATTCATCATAGCTGAGGATGCGCTCTTGGAACATGTGATCGAGCCATGGCACAGTGTCTTTCTCTTTTTCTTCATCTTGTCCATCTGACTCATCGTCAGCTGGCTCAGTGCCATTCTCATCCTCTTCAACTTCATCTTCAAATTCTTCTTCTTCTTCAAGTCCCTCAATCTCAGTCACATCAAGGGGATTGATGTTCTCCATGACTGGAGCTGCGAAGGATGGTGCGCTTGTTGCTCCTTCACCTTGGCTTTCGATGCGCTTCATCACAACATAGTCCTCTGGGTTGAACCCAGCAGCAGTGAGCGCCTTGTCGATGACACTGCGGGCTGGATGGCTAGTAGCCGTCCATGTCTGGCTTTCCCGCTTCATCTCTGCCAACTCTTGAGTGGAGAGATCCTCGATCTTGGGCTCCTTCTCTTTTGGCTTTTCAGGCTTCTTTGCCTTTCCTGGCTTCTTGTAGCCACGATGCCTCTGGGCCTTTTCCCGACCTCGAGGCTGAGGGGCTTCATCAAACTTTCCCTCATCATCTTCATCATCCCAAGCTTGAAGTCGACCAGTACCCTTGGCACGAGCGATCTCATAGTAGTCGAGCTCCTCAGGGTAGTTGGCCTCATAATCGCGCCAGGATTCAAAGCGATCCTGGGCCTTGTCAACGCGATGCTGCTCGGCGCGCTGACGACTCTTCTCTTTCTTCTTGGCCAATCTTGGGTCCATGCCTGATGCCAAATCAGCTGAGAGCCTTGGCGACTCCGCCGGCACCGAAGCGGCGCGGCGAGGAGTTGGCCTCTTCAGCAAAATCTTGGCCTCTTTCTCCTTTTCTTCATACTGCTCTTTCAGCCTCTTCATCTCGGCCTGTTGCTCCAAGATGGCGTCATTGGCTGCTTTGCCTTGAGCCTCGGCCTCTTCGATGGCCTTCTGGATCGTCTCAGACTTCTTCTCATACAGTTCGCGATTGGACTGCATGGTCTCTTGGATTGCTTGGTTCATGACTGCAATCCCAGCAGCTGCAATTCCAGGACGACCTTTTCCAGCTCCTGGCTTCTTTGGCATAGCCTTGACTTCAGTCTCAGCTTTTGCCTTGGCTGCTCCACGAGAAATTGCGGCAGGTGCTGCTTTCTCCATCTCGATGGCAAAGAGGGTGGCGATGTCAGCGGAATACTCAGGCTCGGGTTGATGCTCTTGAGCCATAGAGGTTTCAGATTCCTCAACTGAAGCTACCTTCTTACTTTTACTCTTGCCTTTACCTTTAGAATCTTTTCCTTTGCCACCTTTGCCTTTACCCTTGGAGTTTTGGTTGTACCAACTACTCTTGTTCCAATCATTCTTATACCAATCGTTCTTGTTCCATGAGTTGTTCCATGACGAGGGATTGGACCATGAAGAACCTTTTCCCTTCTGTTTACCTTTGTCGTTTCCCTTGCCTCCATCTTGACTCTTTCCTTTTCCTTTGCCGCCTTTTGAGCCACCTTTGCCTTTTCCTTTGGCTTTGGCCAGACTTGCAAGTGAAGCTTGCATCTGGCTGGCGGCTGCGGCTAGTGCATCAACATCCATTGGTGCTGATCCAGTCTTTGCTTCTTTTCGGCTCTCGATGTTCTCGAGGTAGGCCAAAATCTCTGACTTCATGATGGCATAGTCAGTGAGTCTTGAACTCTGGAGGTCAAGGTGATCTTGGAGTTTGGCTGGGCACATCTGCTGAAGACAACTTCTTGCGATGTCATCATCAAGAGCTTTCTTCTTTCGCTCTTCGTACTTTCGCCTGATGTTTTCCCAGGCTTCTATGCTCTCTCTGAGCTTGTCCAATGCACACTGTTGTGGGTGCAGGACCTTCTTCAGCAAAGCTGAGTTTGCTTGTGGGTTCTGTGGATCATACTTAGTGATCAATCGTCTCAAAGCCTCTAGGCCAAAGTGCTGACCTCTGGAGGTATTCTTGACAATCTCGAGGGCTTCTCCCTCACACAGTGAGATCAGAGCCTGTCGGGCCTGAGCTGAAACAAGCTCGGCTCCTTCAGGATAATCATCTTCCAGAGATGTCTCATTGATCTCTGTATCTTGATGCTCTTCGAGGAGCTGAATGCACTTTCCTGCATTCTTGTGACTTGTCTCGATCCAAGTCTTGAACTTGAAGTACCATGAGTCCCAGGTACCTGTGTGTCCACTGAACTTGTCAGGCTTTGGAATGCCTTTCAATTCTGATCTGTCTCTTACTTCTACGCTGGTGGCTATGTTCCTTGTGATCGCCGTTTGTTGTGTGTATGCTTCTGCCATTGCTCGTTGCAATTGACTCTGCCCCTGTGCTAGGGCTTGCATCATCTGTGCAAATTGCTGTGCCATGTCTGTGGCTTGTGGTGCCTGTGCTCCTGGCTGTTGCGCCATGCTGACTTGCTAGCCAGGGATTGAAGCAATCCGGCTTTCCTGCAAGTGATGCTTGTTTTGTAGATCTCCGGTGCCAGAGCCGATGCGGCTCGGCAACCTTCGATTCGCAGACGGTAGCCGGGTCTTAGAACCGCGGCTCCGCTACCATGAACGGAGAATTTAGGCTCTTAAACTCAGTGACGTAGGGTCACAGTCCCAAAGGTTGTAGTTGAAGCTTAGGCACACTTTTAGCTCAATCAAGCGTGAGCTCTGGTAGTGAAATGAACACAAAAGTAAACCACAAACGGCTGCAGTGAAACATACATCTATACAAGCTGTGTCATGTACATGTAACTGGTGCTACATCTGATCATCCCACCCCACCCACATCTATAAATCCTTGAGATTGTTGTGCAATCTATGATACTGTTGTGCAATTGTTCTGAAACCATTTGCAAAAACTCTGCAAAACCACCAAAAATCTACGTGGCAGATTTAACACTCTCCCCAGTGGCCCTGCGGGTACTACGAAATGCTGTAAACACCACACAGAGCCTTCGAAAATCGCAATGGTCCCCTCGCGTCGCTATTGGGAAGACGAACGAGAAGCATAAACTGAGAGATGAGGACTAGACTAGACACAGAAGGGTAAACGATTCCTGGACTTTAAAACTCCACCTAATCTGCCTCATTTTCTGAGCCTTCAAAACAGGTGGCCAAACTGTCTAGAAGGATCTTGAAACCCACATTATCCTTCTTCCTGCCTCTTCTGAAGTGTTTATATATATATATATATTCGCGTTCTGTAACTTGATATTCCTGGCCCTTCCCTGCCTCTTGTTCAAATGCTCGCCTTCTTAGCTTGTTCTGTACCTTTCCCCAATTTTTTTTTCACTTTTGTACTTCCACTTCAATTTGACCATACTGCTCTCGCAGCCGGATTCCATTGCCCTCCGTCCCCGCTTCTTCGCTTTGATGTTAGATATTGTCTTGTGTCCAACTGAAATATATAGTGTTGATTATGGTACAAATCTGCTGTGTCTTTTGAAAATGCCGCTACGGGTGTGCCCGTTCCTTTCAGATTCCATTGACATGCGTTCATCTTGCTCCTTCTGATGTACAAAAATTCTGCTCCGCTTCTGTAAGACTCCTTCATCCTTGTTTCAGACTTCCAAGTTCCTATTACAGCTGCACGCTGCACCTTTCCTGTTCGTTCTGACCCTCCTTGCTTAGAGCCTGTACAGTCCATTACGGTATATGGAAAGGCAAAAGAGCAGGGCGAATCCAACAAGCACATCAAGCCCTGTGAATGAAAGAGATACAGCATTGCTTCTCCGAGTTCTGAACTTCATCTCCTGCGGCAGAGCCTTTGCCCTGGCGGCGAAGCCGCGGCGCGTTTTCAGGAATAGAAAAAAATGCACTACTGTCAACAGTACAGCAGACGGTCTGTTGTGCCACAAAAAGCACGGAAAAAGCTTCTAGCAGCTTTTAAGCCAAATCTCGAGTCCTGACTTGGGGTCTGCCTTGATGATCTCTAGAAGCTGCCGACCTTCTGCTCCGTCATTTCCGACCTGAGAGCAAGCTGCGTCTTCACGGGAAAGCAGCCACAGAGCGACACGATTCTGGCGAATTTGACTCTATTAAATGATAGAATTGAATATTAAATGATATCATTGAATTCAAGCATTGACTGAGATGTTTCAACGAATTCAAAGCCTGCTCGCGAGCATGTGCTTGTGTCCTCTTTAAGCTGTAACACTGTAGCTGTCGCTGCTGTCACCAGACATCTGGGGGGCAAACTGGAGTGCCAGTGAAGCCAGCCAGCACTGTCCGTGTTGACTCGTACTGCGACAGTCCAGCTTGAGATGACATGCAGTCCGCCAAAGCACTACCGTTTTTGGCCAAAACGAAACTCAAATACTCAAAGCCAGAAAAAATGCAGCTTTAGGGCAACCTGGGTTAATGCGTACGAGCAATATTCTGACACGAGCAATATAAGATAACTAAGACGGACACGAGAAGGTTGCGAAGATGTCCGATCTGCTCCTGATGTTCAAAAAAATGATTCAGGAGAGCAACCAAGTCGTTTGCAAAAACAGAGGCAGCCGAGAGTGCGCCTCACCTCATAAGCTTGATGAGGCCTTACGAGGTTGTGGCATTCATCCATGATCACGACCTGACCGGCCAGTGAAGACATCACGACCTGCCCCTCGGCAGACTTGGCAGACTTGGCCGGCCTTACCAGAGTAGGGGTTGAGCCTGTCATGGAAGCAAAGTCAAATGTTTGATGGCTTCCTGTCAGGCTGAGGCAAAAACTCAGCTGGGTCAAAGCCAACTTTCAAGATCGGACTTTTGGGCCAACCGTCCTCGCCGCCCACAGCTAGTGACCAGGACAGTGTAACTGAGTGGCGCAACCAAACTGAGCACCCAGGCTCTGCCCAGCACAGATGCTCCACCACCGGCTGTGGTGTATCGAAATGCACCTGACCAATGGCAGAGCTGCACTCTTGGAAGAAAAGTGTTGCATGGGTCGATAAAGAGTCTCTCCCTGCAATCCTGGATTGTGTGCCAGCGATAAGAAAGATCCACTTCCCGTACTTTTGTTTCACATGGTGAAACAGGAAACAGCATCCCCTTGGTGTTGCACGCAAAGGTGCGCGTGGCATGGGCGCATCAGGGTAGTCCTAACAAGTCTCAAAAGCTTGAATCTGACTGCGTTCCAGGTGATTGGGAATGCTTCTAAAGAACTACACGTCATGTGGCTTCACTCCGTTGCACTGGGAAGCTCCTTCAAGAAGACTCTGGCAAACTTTGCTTTCACCTGGTTAGTCTGTTCTCCCATTTATCCTGCTCCAGTGGTGTAAGCACTACACACCACAAGCACCTGTGACAACATGACAACATACTGACACTGTCAAAGTTTGCACCTTGCCACCATGAATTGCATTTTTCATCTCCAAGGCCTCCCGCGTAAAATTGTGTAATTCTTTCTTTTCTAGCCCGCTGGGAGGGGGGTTGGCCGAGAAGAGGTACATAGGGTACCTAAGGTAGAAGAGAGGTAGCTACTAGATACTTAGACGCTACTAGCTACTGGACGCAAGATAGCTCACGCTTCTTCAAGGAAGCTCCCCCCGCCTGAGGGCGAGGGAGAGCTTTCTTGAGGAAGCCTGAGCCTTAATGAACATCAAACTTCTCTCACAGAGTCTCACCATCTTTCACTCGAGAGCTTTATCTGAAAGTGCATGGGGATGCCTAGAAATGGAGAATATAATGTATCCGCTTGTGTTCCATGTCAGCTTTTACAAAATGTGACAAAGAGAGACAAGCGACAAACTTAACAAACTGAATCTTCCACCTGACGAATACTTTCAGTGAGTTCACTGACGATCTTCTCCAGTCGAACTCCTCGTGACTTTGCCTGACCGAGAAGCTGCTACATTCCCTACGAAGAGGCAATGACAGCGGTGTGGATCACAACAGGTTGACAAGGTGGAAGGGTGAATGCAGAAACTTGAGCGCCCCTTCTTGTCACTCTTTTTGTCTAACGCGCTGCTGAGTCGAGGCAATACCATCCAAACCGGTCTGTGCCGTCTTTTTTGGACAAACTTGTCATCTTGCCTTGCTGCAAGGAAAAGTGTGCCTTCAGGCACACATGCCATATGCATGGAGCAAACTGTTGTGCTCACAACAGGCAGGCATACAGCGTACAGTGTACAGTGTACGCCAACGTACGGCATGAATACAACAACTTTGTCGCTCAGAAAGGGGCTCTCAAGAAGGGCGCAATCGCTTTTCGGGTGGCATGCCTTTCATGTCTTGAGTCTCAAGCACAATAGAAGAACATGACACAGTGGCCTTCACCAAAGTTCATAGGCCGCCCCGTGGCCATCCTGGGGTTAAGTTAATTTCATGGTGTGAATTGGGCCTTGATTCTGGTACAAGGTAGCTTCGCCGCTTCGCACAGCTTCAACAAGAATGTACTAACTTGCAAATGGAGATCCGTGGGTGCTCCAATTCTTGCGCTTGAAGCTGGCCATTGCCTCAGTGCGGAAGCTAGAATTCTGTTTTTTGGAAATGACCTTTTCTCGCGTCCTGAAAAGTATTGTACATACTTCTCCTCCGATGTGCATGGTAAGTTGTGGCACCGACCCATGGACGAATCGATTGCTACCAAGGTGCGAAGGACACAAGTGAAAGAAACATCCTAAGCAGCGGTGGCTTCTGAAGTGGCAAGACGATTGACCAAGAACTCCAACAACATTATTCTTTGTCGAAGAAGATTTGTCTTGCACTCTGCTCATCTGTCCTGACCAGGCTGGAAGTTCTTCCTCTGGCGCTGAGGCAGGACTACTTCGCCACTGTACCCTGGCACTTCACATCGGTACAGCTGGGGGTCTCTCCTTAATTAAAGTTTCCTGGAAATACTTAAGTTTTCCAAAAAATCTAGGAACCAAATCATTAGTGCAAGCGCTTCTTCAAGGAAGCCCTCTGCCGCCTTTAGGGCGGCGGGGGAGCTTCCTTGAAGAAGCGTGAGCTATCCTTCGTCCTAGGTAGTAGCAACTTAAACTTTAACTACTAGCTGCCTAGCTACCCCTAGCTACTACCTCTGCCGCTTCTAGCGGCCTACCCCCCACTAAAAAGACAAGGTCCCTTACAGCTTACGGCTCCACGCACTGCCTTCCTCTTTCAGCGCGTCACACTGTATGTAACCTCTGGTCAACGCGCGTCAACACCTCAACACCTCTGATTCTTGATCAAGTGTTGATGACAAGTCACCAAATCCTTTTTCGGCATTCCAGGCTTTGAATTTTCCCACCTTCGCAGCGCCACGAAGACGTAAAAAACTATGGTACACTCAAGCATGTTAACAGCGAAAAAGGTGATTTGGTGATTAGGTAAGACTCATGCGAAGACACCCATCTCCTCATCCGGAGGCCCGCCTCAAAAGTTTTGTGTGTGTTACTGTAATATAAGAAGAAGTGCGACACGCAAACGACAATCTGAGAAGAAAGGAGAGAAAGCACAAGGCACAGGGAAAAGAAAAAAATAAACCTTCAAAGGGGCCTTACTAAAAAGGCCCTTACTGGTACTGTACCTTTTTTGTCCCTCTCTGTCTGCAAGATCTTTCTCTTCTGCAAGCATCTAAGCGACAAAACAACCTGCCTGAATCATCCACGTCCACACTCCTGAGATGTATGAACTCTCCATGTAAAAAAACAAACGAGTCATTCCAAACCGTAACCGAGATCTCTACAGTCAAATGAGGCTCAAAGAAAAAGGAACTTGCATTGTCAACTAGAACACCTGGTGAACATGGGTCATACTTTTAAGCTGTTTACATCGATAGACGCCAGCACCAGCGGGAAGTTCGACGTTGTGTTGTTGTCACATGTGTGGTGATGCGATCCGATCTCTACAGTCCGTGTCATTCTGTCGGAACAAAAAGATACCTTTTCCCCAATGCGTAGCGAAGGGTTCTCGTTTAACTTGGGAGTCTGAGGGTAGAGCTGTGTTTGCCCGACGTTGCAACCGTCCGTAACCATCCGTATGATGTCTCTATGGCTCTGCCATTGCGGGAAGCTTTTGCAAGTGACTTTTCATGGATGTGTCACGTGTCAGTTTGCGCCGCTATTACATTGTGATTTGCATGAAAATGACATGTCGCGCAAGAAACGTGATGCATTTCGCTGCACAGGCGCAGGGTTTCGTGAAAGTGACACGTTTGTGTCGGTATTCCATTGGGATTAGCGTTTGGAGAGTCGTGTTTTTGGGGTGTTGGACGTGGCCGTGCCATTGGGATTTGCGTTTCAGGGTGTGGCATCGAAGCTCTGTTTTCGTGACAAGTCTCAGCTGAAATGGCGATTTTGGTGGATGCGAGTGTGCTCAGAACGGGTCGAAATCATTCCAAACGTGTGGTGTGGTGCAAATTTGGTTGAAGCTCACATGAGATGATATTGTCACTTTTCGTGGCAGGCGCAGTACTTTGTGCGGGTTTTGAGGCGTGGAAGTGCGATTCTCATGGCAGGCGCAGGGAATCGTGAGGTTGCGAGGTGTGACGGAGGTGACATTTCGTGGCAGGCGCAGTACTTTGTGCGCGTTAGACGTGTGGACGCGGAAAGATTCGTGGCAGGCACAGGGAATCGTGAGGTTGTGAGTTGTGGTAGAGGTGAATGTCGCTGTCACATTGGGATAGGCGTGTGAGCGGGCGTTGTTTGGAGGGGCTGGAATCGCGAAACTGCTTGGCAGGGCTGCGTGATGTGTGTGCTCCGATGGGTGTTTCCGCTTGACTTTTGGAGGATGTCTCGTACGAAACGCTCGTTTTGCAGACTTTGACGTGTGAGTTTTTGAGGATGTCTCGTACGAAACGCTCGTTGTGGAGACTTGACGTGTGACTTTTTAGTCTCGTACGAAACGCTCGTTTTGGAGACTTGACGTGTGACTTTCGGAGGAAGTCTCGTACGAAATGCTCGTTTTGGTTGGAGACTTGACGCGTGACTTTTGGAAGAAGTCTCGTACGAAACGCTCGTCTTGCAGCCTCGAAGCGTGACTTTTGGAGGAAGTCTTGTACGAAACGCTCGCATGACTGCTTTCACCAAAAGCGGGGTGAAGCTACGTGTCGCTGGTGAGCGGGATGATTTGTGGTATCGCGTGACATGTTTGCTTCTAGTGTCTGGGCAGACCGTGTGGCGACGCGACGTTCATGATGTCGCAGTTCCATTGGGATTTGCGCGGCCTTGGTGGAAAGTGCGTTTGCGTGGCGCCGTGCCACTGGGGAGCGGGAAACATGCTGGCGTAAACGCGGCGTGTCGCTGGTGAGCGGGATGATTTGTGGTATCAAGAGTGTCCCAAAAGAGTGCCGCGCAAGAGTCCAGCAAAGAGTGTCAAGAAAGATTGTCTAGCAAAGAGTGTCAAGAGAGAGTGTCAAGCAAGAGTGTCCAGCAAGAGTGTCTAGCAGCGTGTCAAGCAAGAGTGTCCAGCCAGAGTGTCAAGCAAGAGTGTCAAGCAAGAGTGTCAAGAGAAAGTGTCAAGAAAGATTGTCTAGCAAGAGTGTCAAGAAAGAGTGTCAAGCAAGAGTGTCGTGTCAAGAGTGTCCAGCAAGAGTGTCAAGCAAGAGTGTGAAGCAAGAGTGTCAAGAACAAGTGTCAAGAAAGATTGTCTAGCAAAGAGTGTCAAGAAAGAGTGTCTAGCATGAGTGTCAAGCAAGGGTGTCCGGTCAAGAGTGTCCAGCAAGAGTGTCTAGCAGAGTGTCAAGCAAAGAG